GCATGATTGGCCTTATTTCGTTTGTCCGATTGTGAACTGAGTTGCTTGGTAATTTCAGTATAGCTATGTTTTGGTTTTGATGTGTCCCGTGATTTTAGATAGGATAATTTAATAGTCTGAACCTTAATCGATTATAAAATCAAGCTTCAATACTCAAATATAGCTTCTTTTCACAGTAGGCCGTAAGGAAAATATCAATAAAGTTTCTTATAGTACCTTTATGCATGCCTAATTAAACCTATGTTAATAAATATGAATCAAAATCTATTAAACTAGAAGTTAATTGACTACTCCAAAAGCAATTCACTTTATTTGTGTTGTCTCTCGCATAATTAATTAAAGAAATTTGAAAAACAAATTATAAGTGACCTTAAGGATTCCATAACTAATTGCACATTTATTCTTTGTTGTAAACATAGGCATTATCCAACATAGGACAATTATAATATAACACATTTGCAAATGGTTTGATGATGTACCTACAACCATGTAGGTTTTAATAAATTGTTTTAGCTTAGTACTTTTATTGTGTGAATATGTGCACATTACAAGCTTACTAATTGTAACTATAATTTTAATTCATCTTTATATGTAAATATGTTTTAGTACATTGATTCCTTTTTTATTGAAGCCTAATTACTTGAAAGTCCAATGTTAAATTGGATTTGCCAACATAAAAGTAGCTTAGTATTATTATGTTGAATCCAATGTTTAGATTGGATTTTGTTTCAATTTATGTGAAGTGCAATTTCACTACAAAAAAAAAAGAGGTATTATCTATAAAATATTACCTACGGATAAAAATTCGTAGGTAAAATGTACATTACATACAAATATTATACCTACGAAATTTTATCTCTATATAAATTATCCATTACCTACTGAATTACTGTTCGTAGGTAATGTCATCCGTGAATAATTATCTATTACCTACAAAATTACCGTTTGTAAGTAATGTCATTCGTGAAAATTATCCATTACCTACGTAATTACTATCCGTAGGTAATACCATCCGTGGATAATTATTCATTATCTACGAATTACTTGTCAATGAGGTAAATTACATACGCGATTGTAATCCGTAAGTAAATTATATCAAATTAAGAGAATTATATAAATATGTAAATGTATAAATATGTAAATATGTAAATATATAAATATATAACTATATAAATATATAAATATATGAATATATAAATATATGAATATATAAATATAAATAAATATATCAAAATATAAATATATTTGTATTTATATATTTTATATTTATATATTTTATATTTATATATTTTATATTTATATATTTACATGGATAAATATAAATAAAATTTATTTGTAAGTTATATCAAAATATCCTAATAGTTTAGTGGTTGGAGTATTAGTCTCCCACTCTAAGGTATTTGGTTCTGATTTTCATCGCTAAATTATACATTAGATGCTTAAGCAACATGTCAAATAATGAAAAATGTGGTTCAAATGGTAAAAAGTCATTTAGTGTGATTCGCTGAAGCAAAAAAATCACATATCCATTGTTTTTAAAATCAATGCAGAAAATACACATACTACATTCTAATTTTTGAAGAATAATATATTACATTGATTGACTAGACAATAAACATAATATGTCTTCTTTCTACGTAGATTAATAATGAAGTAGAAAGTTACAACTACAATTTAAAAATATCAAATATAATCAATATAAAACTTTATTTTCTAGTAGTAAAAATCTCTATCAAATAAACTAAATTTAGGTATATTTGCTACACTGTAAATAATACCCTCTATGCAATGGGAACTTTTTTCTTTTCTTTTTTATGTACTCATTTGCTACACTGTAAATAATAGGCTTCAGCCCCCATTAAAAAATGCACAATATGGTGGCTTGAATGGGATACAATAGGCTTTAATTTTGATACCTTCAACAATGACTCAACACAATTTTGTCTCAGTTTACAAACTTACAACAACACAATTTACAATACATATATTTTCTGCTCATACCATCCAAACCACCACACAGTATTAAAAAAAGTAATGTGGTGCAATATCCCAGCACTCTACTCAACAGCCTCCAATGGGGTATTGATAGACTCAATAACCTGCAATGAAGCACTTGAAAATTCCATCAATGATCCACTCTATCAAGAAGACTTCCGATACAAAGATCACTCTGTTTCACTGTCGATTAACATTTAGTTCTGATACCACTTTTAAATCTTTTTAGGGAGAGACAACACCAATGAGACATGAGTTCCAACCACATAAGGATTAACATCACTCTCAACCGAAAACCTTAAGACTTTAGGTTGAGAATGATGTCTTATTTTCTTATATGATAGATTCGGGTTCCATTTGTGGGTTTTTTTAACTGTTATAGGTTTTTTTTTAAGAAAAACTACTTATACCTATGCTGTGTCTGTAATATATTACTATTGTAACTATACTTTTGAATCACTATGATATTGTTTGATTTTTAATATCACCATGAATAATTTTTAATCTGAATAAAAAAATTCATTTGTATATAATATATATCTTTGAAACGACTTATATTTATTTTATTTGTCTATGAATGTTAAATTAATATAATTTTTTTCTCATAATATAATACATGTATTTTTTCTATTAATCCTTCCTTGCATAAAATTTCATATAATTTATTATTTAATATTAAATAAAATAATTATATAAATTTCTATAATGTTAGTCATCACATCAATAGATTTTTATTTTTATTATTATTGAATTCTTTCATAATATTATATGATATGGTGGATTTGAAATTTTCTACTGCTAATTAAAATATTTTAATGTTTAGGAAGAGTAGTTGAATTTTTCTATGGAAAGTTAATTACATAAAACATTTAAAAATTAGGTCTCATTTGGATTTCAAGGTTGGCCTAATTTGGATAACTAATTAAAAGTTATAATTAGACTATTAATTAAAGCTCTTATGATATGAAATAACTTTTGATTTTTATAACTTTAGCTCTTTCTTTTTATTTATTTATTTATTTTTTTAATTTCCCTATTCTTCATGAAAGATAGAAAGTTTAAAGATTTATTTTTTTCTACGACTATGGGATTTTTTTATTCTTTATTTTGTTTTGTTCCTTCCCTCTTTGTTAAAGTTTGTTCTTGAAATAAATTTATCACACACGATTTAATTTTTTATATATAATAAAATCAGTTAATATAAGGAAAAATATTTAATAGATAAGGAAAATTTAGATCATATTTTTTATGAGAATTGATGAATTACGGTTGATATAATTCTCAATGGTAAGAGAACTAAGGGTTTTAAAAGTTTTGTGTTTAATCATCTAATTGAAAATAATAAAATTATATATATAAAGAAAACACCAAAATGTGAAAAATCTATGAAAAATAATAATTAATTCTCCCACTATTGTATTGTTTCAGTGCTTATAATTGATTAACACGAAATAAGTTGATAAGAATTCTAATAATTGATAATATGGAAGTAGTTAGATCTAGTTGATTTATCATATTTAATTGGTTTAGAAATACAAATTAAATTCTAAAATTCATAAATCTAATTAGTTTATTATCTAATTGGTTAAATTCAACTAAATAATTTCAATTAAATTAATTATAATAGATTATAAATTATTAGAATATTAAAGAATTAAATCTCAATCAATAAAAGAAATTCAGATAAAAAAACAGCTGTAGAAATTTAGAAAGTCATTAAAATGCACTAAAAATAATAAATAAATTATAAATTATAGAAATTAAATGAAAGTAGTAAAGAAAAAATAAATATAATATAAAATATCTCGAACTAAAGTAAATTGAATAGAATTTATACAATAGTTATAGATGAAGATCTTAAAAAGGAAAACTGGAAAGAATTTAAATTAAATCTGGAAACTACAAAATTCCAAGAAGATAACTTATGGTTTTTTATTTTTCCAAACATATTCTCGCAACATCAAAGGCTATTAAATGGGCTAAGACACATAAAAAACAAATTACAAGACTTAGAGTTGGGTTCATCAATTTTGAAAAAGTATAGTTTGCAACATTTCATTAAGAGTTTTCTATTTTGTTAAGTAAAATGGTTAGTTTAAATTAGTTAAACCAAATTTGATATTTTTGTGAATAAAATTTTTCTTCCCTAAGTGAATTGATAAATTTAAGAATGAATTCTTTATAATATTAATTTGTTTAAGGGATAGTATTAACCCTTAAATAATTCTATTAAAATTATGTTAACAAGAGAGGAAAGTGTATATAAACTTAAATTATATGAAACTCATGAGTGTACCGAAATATATATCTCCAACCGAAGATCAAGGTATATTTATGAGTGAAGTGAGACTCTATTTTCGATCTTATGGTTCCATTATGATTTTATTTAAAAAAAATGCCTAAATAGATTATGGAAAATAGTGTATATAAATTATTTTTGTTATTCCATGAATATATCATAACACATGCAACATTTGAAATTGATTGATGTTTATAGTGTATATATAAATTATTTTTGTTATTCATGAATATATATCATAACACATGCAACATTTGAAATTGATTGATGCATAAACATGATTATTCAATGATGAATTATGTTTTTATATTTTGACAATGAAACTATAATATGAAAAAATCATTTAAAAATTAAAGTGGATTAGTCCAACATACATCATATATATATTGTAATACAGATTAAAACAAGGCAAACCCATAATTCACTTCATAACCAAATGAGAGCTGACAAGAATGACTAAAAATAAAAGTTGAGATAGAAAATAAAAGAAAATGTAATAAAGAGAGTGAAGGTGGTGTTATTAAATAAATTTTGAACTTAATCACTGTATTAATGAATGGAGTTACCCAGTAATGGGGGGTTTGTGAAGTTAAAAGAAAGAAGAGAAGAAAAAGAGAAATTGGTGGGCTATAAATACGTCTGCTCTGCAAGTGTTGAAGATACAAAAAAAAAAGGAAAGCAAGAGAGACAGAGTTAGTTGTGAGAAATGGATTCCAAGGGAAGTGCTCTACTCCTGGCTCTCAATCTGCTATCATTCGCAATGCTGAGCTCCGCAGCGGCACCGGCACCTTCTGGAAACGGCGTATGTCCCGTAAATACGCTTGACTTGACTGTGTGTCTGAACCTGGCGAATGGTTTGGTTGATATTTCGTCACCCCCAGCCAGTCAATGCTGCTCCCTCATTGCGGACGTGGTCGATCTTAACGTCATCGTTCAGTGCCTTTGCATTACCATCAAAGCTGGCCCTGTCACTGTTAACGTCAATGCTAACCTGAGTTCAATTCTCAACAATTGCAAGATCGCCCACCCTAGTAATCTCGTCTGCCCTTAATCCTCCATCGTTGCTTCTCTCAGTCACATATCTCAATGCCTCTTTTCCACAATAATCTACCCTCCTTCCATGTATCTTTTTTTAAACTCCTTTTCTTATTCCAATAAACATATGTGACTCCTATTTTCCTATTTCCCTATTTCATTTTCTCTTACATTATTCTTTTCTTTTTCAATAAACAAACACATGCAAGATTGTAATAATCGATGTTCAAAATTACAATTTTAGCATATCAAATATAATTGATATTTTACTTGTCCACTTTCCTACATTCATAAAAACTCACCAACAACATTATAATTAATTACTCTTGTCATATCCACTTATATGCACAAGTGACTATTTTAATATATCATATCTTAAGATAAATTATTATCTCGCGACAATAGACTCGTTCAAGATAAATAAATATATAATAATAATTCTCAAAATTGCAAGTGATGGAAGTAAAATAAATATAGTAATTTAAAAAAAATCACATATCCATTGTTTTTAAAATCAATGCAGAAAATACACATACTACATTCTAATTTTTGAAGAATAATATATTACATTGATTGACTAGACAATAAACATAATATGTCTTCTTTCTACGTAGATTAATAATGATGTAGAAACTTACACCTACAATTTAAAAATATCAAATAGAATCAATATAAAACTTTCTTTTCTAATAGTAAAAATCTCTATCAAATAAACTAATTTAGGTATATTTGCTATACCCTCTATGACCAGACAGTATTCAAAAAGTAATGTGGTGCAATATCCCAGCACTCTACTCAACTGCCTCCAATGGGGTATTGATAGACTCAATAACCTAGAATGAAGCACTTGAAAATTCCATCAATGATCCACTCTATCAGAAAGACTTCCGATACAAAGACCACTCTGTCTCACTGTCGATCAACTTTTGGCTTTGATACCACTTTTAAATCTTTTCAGGGAGATTCACTAGGGAGAGACAACACCAATGAGACATGAGTTCCAACCACATAAGGATTAACACCACTCTGAACCGAAAACCTTAAGACTTTAGGTTGAGAATGATCTTATTTTCTTATATGGTAGACTCGGGTTTCATTTGTGGGAATCTTCTTATTGTTAGCCCCTCGGAAAGACCCAATAGTGGTATCAGAGCTGATGGTTTATCCGATGACCGACTCAGTTGAGTATGATTATAGTAGGTGAAAGGTCTTTGTATCGAAAGTCTTGAGTTATAGGCAAACGAGTCCCGTTAAGTTAAACAGTGGTATAAGTAAGGTCATTACTAGGTACTCATGACTAAAAAATGCTTCCCCTCGAGGGGGAGGTAAATCAATGTGAAAGGAATCAAACTTGAGGGAGAGATGTTAAGAATTTAAGTGTGAGTGTGAAGTCTCACATTGGGTGGAAATGGGAAAATTAAGTAACTTATAAGCGATAAAAATCCATGACTTAATGTCTTAAGATTTTGGGTTGAGAATGATATCATATTCTCATATGGTTGACTTGGGTTCCATTTGTGAGAATCTCCCTATTGTTAACCCCTCGAAAAGACCTAACAAAGGTATACCAATGTGAAAGGGAATCACACTTGAGGGGGAGATATTGAGAATTTAAGTGTGAGTTTGAAGTCCCATATTGGGTAGAAATGGAAAAATTGAGCAACTTATAAATGAGTAAGACCCATGACCTAATGCCTTAAGGTTTTAGGTTGAGAATGTTATTATATTCTCTTATACAGTTGACTCGGGTTCCATTTGTGAGAATCTTCCTATACTTCCTTATATGTTGGTCTTGTATTTCCTACCATGTACCGATTTTACTTTCTTATATGTTATTCAATTTTCTTATTTTTATTCAATATGGAACTTAAAATCATACTTAGATTACCCAATATATCCTGCACTCTACTCAAATGGCTCCAATAATCTATTGATAGACTCAAGAACCTAGGATGAATCACTTGACAATTTCATCAATGAACGAAAGAGAGGGGAAAGGGTAGTTTGAAGGAGATTTAGGGTCATTGCCCTACTACACTGAACAGCGTCTAAATACTTTGCTCTCTCACTCTCCACTTGCTTCTTAATGTCTTCTGTTTCACTTTTTTTTTTAAGATGTATTGGATGTCTGGGGCTTGTATCAACCATATCTCCATCAATTCTTTGCTGCATCCTAGCCAAAGTCTTCACACATTTTCAGAATTTCCTTTCAAGTTTCTCTATCCTTTTCAGAATGTTAATTTTTTATGTCTCCTTGTTTATTTTTTTTCATTCTATTTTATTTTTTTAATTAAAAATATTATAATTTAATATATTATATATTTTAAAAAAAATTATATGATAAATTTGAGATATTATAATATTAGAAAAAAATATTTATTTTAAAATAATTTTTTAATATTTATTTTAAATTACCTAATTTAACTAAATATCATTACTCTAATTATAACTAGATTAAACTACTAAATAAAATATATATTTAACTCGATAAATTTTTTGATATTTTTAATTAAATGTATTGTTGTTTTAATTTTAAATAATTAGTTGATATTTTTTTCATTTTAATGTTGATTTTAAAATAATTACTTTTTATTAAATTTTAACATAGTAGTTTTAATTAAAAGAAAAATAAGTGAGAGAATAAAGAAAAAAATAAAAAGAGAAAACAATGAATAAATGAGAAGAAAGAAAAAAAATTTATGAGAAATGAGGAGAAAAATTGCATACAACTAATAAATGTAACGACCCTAGAAATCGCTATTATAATGCATTCACAAAATAGTAAATAAGTAAATAACGACATCTATCTTACATTATATTACTCGTAATTGTAACATAGATTGAAATTCGGTTCACTAACGGAATCTCAAAATATAGTAACATAATTTATTTATATATTATACATGTAAAAGTAGCTCCCTCGAAGCTATCTCACTGAACTATCTCTGTTGTCCAGTAGTCACATCTCCATCTCTCAACTCCTGATCTGCTCCCACATAAAAGTGATCATCACAGTCTCATCCACATGGAAAAATATGGGTAAGTATTAAATCATTCGATATAATAAAATAGATATAGAAGTAATAATTATATATTATGATCAATTACAAAATCATCAACACACTAAGACACCTTCCGGAAGTATACCCTAACTATGCTCGAACTCAGAGGCTATCATCTGTGGGCACATTGTGATCGGTACCCGCAGTACCATTCTGACCACCCTCCACACGAGTAGGATTACTGGCACCCTTCATCACTCATACTGGAGTACCCCTCCGAGCGCGCCACCAGTCATCCCCCTATCGACTTCTCACCATCTGATCTCGTAGTCTACCTGAACCGACCAATCAGTGAAGTTTGGGACCTCATTCAAAATCCTCCAACATAGTTATTACACTAAAGTACTCTGTATCACCCGGGGTACCATTCAAACACAACAAAAATCATTCACATTTGTCGGATTCTGGACCACTTGTCCTCACGACTCATTCAAGTCAATAAATAATAGTACTTGACTGATTCTGGCACCAACCCTCCGGCTCAGTCTAGCCAATATATAACGTCTCATGACTGATTCTGGGCATCAGCCCTCAGGCTCAGTCTGACCCACACATGTCACAACATATTACTTTCATTCTCTCTCTCTTTATATATATATTTTTCTAAAATCATTTCCGAAATCATTTCTGAAACTATTTCGAAACTATTTTTGAAATCATTTTCGAAATCATTAAATTACTATTTTGCCCTTAATCTTTTCCTAAAATTCCATGTATGTCCCTAAATGACTATTTTACCCTTGGACATTTTTGAAAATTCCTTCCATGTCTCGAAAATGACTATTTTACCCTTGAACATTTTCAAAAATTCCATTTATGTCCCTAGGATGTAAAATGACTATTTTACCCTTAAACATTTTCAAAAATTCCATTTATGTCCTTAGGATGTAAAATGACTATTTTACCCTTGAACATTTTTAAAAATTCCTTCCATGTCCCGAAAATGACTATTTTACCCTTGGACATTTTCAAAAATTCCTTCCATGTCCCTTTCTTCTTCCTCGTGCCAGTAACAGTAACAAATTTTGCAGATTTTGGCAGATTTCAAATTACTCAGTTTTAGACAACCAAACTAGTCCCAAATTCAAATTAAACATGAATTATATCTAATTTAAGTTGAAAACAACAATTTTACCATATAATTCATCCTTAATTTCTAGAATTTCATCAATATTTAAAACTTTGCAAAATATGAATAGTAATCACCTCCAGTACGCCATTTTCAAAATTCAGGTTTCAAATTTCTCAGTTTCAATCACCCAAATTAGTTCCAAATCAAAATTAAACCATAAACATGTTCAATTTAAGTTAAAAATAACAATTTTATTATATAATTCATCATTAATTTCAAGAATTTCAAAAACTTTCAAACGGTGAACAGTTTATCAGAATCAGAAATTCTTCAAAATTAGACATTCAAATAATTCATATATTTACTCCTATTCTTTATTCACACGGTATTCACAGAGTACCCAACAATTCAATTTCATATATTGAATGAATTAAACTTCCCCTTACCTGGTGTGGTATTTCTAGCGAAGTTTTCCCACTTAATTCAAGCTCTCTCATGTTTAACCAGATCCTGCACGAGTAGAGTCTTGTTGCTTAAAATTTAGACAATAGAAGAAGAATGAGGAACATATGATATGGGAGGAAGAATTTCCCGCAGAAACCATTCCTCCCCCTTCGAACATATAAAAGAAAAAATTTTACTGTGCATGAGGAAAACTTCGTTACGAAGTTTTCTTGCACAGTAAAAAGCATACGGCACAATAAACGAGATATAGTTTAATAAATAAACTTAGAGATTTTATTTTAATAATTTTTCTTTCAAAATGTATTATTTTAAAGATTATTCGTCATTAACATTATTTATATTAAATTAAATTTTATTAGTATTTTATTAAGTGTATGGTAGAGTCATCGAATATATTTATATTGGCACGGACATTAATTTTAGCAGCTAATTAAAGCATTGTACAATATAATTATTTAATATTATAATATTAAAAGTAATTATTAAGATTAAGTTGTTGAATGACAAACTAAGTATAGTATTAGAAATAATAAAAATAATTGTTAACAATATATTAAAAAATAAAAGTAAATTATATGTAATTACTCTATTTTTTATAAATTAATACCTATATTACTTAATTCAATTATGTATGTAAAACTAATTTATTATTTTAATTTAAAATGCTTTTTTTATTACCTTATATTTTTCAACTTAGAACTAACCTCATTATAAGGACAAACAAAAAACTTAGAAAAGTCAGACTATAAATTATGACTTAGAAAAATTATGATTTTATCATAACTAATTTATATTAAAATGTCTTTGGTTAACTCCAATATAGTTCCTGCAAATATTTAAAAAACTATGTTCGTTAGAGTTAGGCATAATGTCATTCATATTTACAATTAAGGTCATGTAATTTAAATGATCTTTTTGATTTGTGGCATTAAATGTTTATAACAAATATTCTTATTCTTTTTAGTGTTGTGTTTGACGGATTTTCCCCATATACCTTATATTATACTGTACCCTTGTAAGGGTGTAACCATTTATGTTAAAATTAATGCTATGGTTAGGTCAATTATTTTTTCTTTTAAAACCCAATTCTTGAAGTATTGTTTAATTATTCGCAATAGTAGCCTTATATTATTTACTATATTATTAACTATTGTGTTTGTTTCAAAATTAATTATATTTAAATTTCTGAAAATAAAATACGATCTCTTTCCATTAATTATAGATAATTTCACGGTGAAAATGAAAAACAGTATTAATTAAGATAATTAAAATAATAAATAATATTTATACTAACATAATTAGATTACTTTTAGATATAAAAATCTATTAATAATATTTTTATTATTTTATATAAATAAAATAGTTATACAAAATTTAATTTTCTTATTTATTTTTAATATATTATGAACATATTTTTTTAATACTTTTGTTATATAATCATTACGCTAATAAAATGTCATTCAAAGTACATAATAAATTTAAAGTTTTTATATTTGATAATTGCAGCTATGTAGAATTTTATAAAATAAAGTATATTTAATTGGTTTGAAAATTTTACAAACAGATGATTAAATAGTTTATTTTAAATTACTTTTTGGAATCAATGACTTATTTTTTATATTTTACAGCCTTTTTGTAGAAAATTCTTAAGTTAGGTGATAAAATAATTAATAGTTTTAATTATTATTGTTTCAAGTATACTCATGAGTTTTATCTTGTTTAGGAGTCGAAGTCAATAATAGTTTAAATACATCATCATCTCTTAACTCATATATGCGCATTTTAAGGATAAAATCGTGACAGACGAAAGTTCCAAAGCGGACAATACTTCGGACATGGCAATTGACTTTAACGATGTTACCATAACGGATATGAGACCGAGACATTTTCTATCCTTAATCGAAACAATTATGACTATATGGGATGTTGCTTAGGTGTTGAATTAGAGAAGTTGAAATGGGATTGTGTAATTGGAGAATATAATATTCATGAATGTATAAGGGAGTTAATAATTGGAAATAGTAATAAACCTAGCATGAATACATGTACATGTGATGATGTTGAATCCAAATATACATGAATGCTTAGGTTATTTTAGTGTTTTAATAAGTTTATAGTATATTTATGTGAGGGATATAATTGACCTATTGTGTTTTAGAATTGAATGGTATTAAGCAACATATCAAATAATGAAAAATGTAGTTTAAATGGTAAAAAATCATTTGGTCGTGATTCGCTCAAGCAAAAATTATGTTGCTCAAACAAAAGGATAATCGAGGTCAAAGAATTTATACTATAAGTGTCTCCCTCAAGATGACACATAAGATGCTCAAACAAGAGATGTGTAAAAAAAAAAAAAAATTTTTTGTTTATATTTCGCTCAAGTAACAATAATTATTCAAGCAAATTACTAATATAGAAAAATGAAATTGGTTTTATATGTTAGTAGCTCAAGTGATTAGAATAAAACTCAAACAAATAACAAACAAGATTAATTACTTGTTTCATAGGTACTTCACTTAAGCATGGATGAGAATACTTAAATGAAGTAGTCCTTATACTTAAGGGAGGAGTGATCGCTTGAGGGAGGAAAAGAGAAAATTATTTGAGTTGGATATTGAAAGTATATTATTTAAGCGAATAAAGGCCGCTCAAGTGATATACATTTGTTATTGGAATGAATATTGTGGTCAAGGAATACTGGGCTTAAGACCCAATGCATGTGTGAAGCTTATGTGAGACTAAGTTGAGCATCAAGTTAGTACTTCGAATTTATTGGTATAAATGTATGATGTGAGGTTGAGTTAAGTTAGAGGTTGTTGCTTATAATTGAATGAAATGTGTATGTTGGTGTGAGACAAGTTAACCTCAGACATGTGGTCCAAAAATAAAAATATGTACTTGAGATTGCAATGTGTTAGCATAACAATTATGTTTGTGTGTATTCAACAAGATTTTATATTTCACTGATAACCGCAATCATGTAGACTAAGATATCATGTGGTGAAGAATTATCGGGAGAATTGTTGATGATGATTTATTACGAGACTTTGAGATGTATGTCAAGACGGGTAATATTGACTGTAGTTCTACTTTGTGTACAATAATTAAAATGGTACTGATAATTAGAGGTATCTAGTGCAGTATCGATTACAATAATATAATATAAAAAAGATAGTTTCTTAGTTTAGGCATAATGCTAGTCTTTTGCAAGATGTTTAATTGTAATTTATATGATGTGGTGAAAGTAATATATATGAAATGATGCATAAAAATAGAATATGACATATCTGGTGTATGGTTTATAGATAATTAAGTAGTTGTTATTTTAAACGTTTTGACTTATCATATTTTCTTATTTATTGAGGTTGATTATTATAATAGTATTATTTATATGAGAATAAATATTGATAACACTTATGCACAATTGTAGAGAATTTAGTGTAGATGATGGTGTACATATACACATAATTTGTATTTTATATTTTGATCTTATAATTAATAAAAATTATTTTACAATATTCCATGTGCATTAATTTCATTCATTTACCATAATTCTTTAGGTCATGGTAGTGATTTTTAGGATTAATATGGATTATTTATCTTTTTGGATATATAATGATAATGTAAAAAAATCTATATTACATTTGTTATTTTATATGTAAAGAAGGATTTATATTCATTTTATTATGAACAAAAAATTACGTTTATATTAATTTTAAATAATTTATGGATGGAAATTATAATAAAAAAAATTTAAAATATAAATCATTAAACATTAGTTATATTCAAATTATAATTATTTGGTCTCATTTAATTTTCACACTTGCATTGGATCTCACATTCAATATTTCTTTATCATAGAGTTCATTTCATAAATATATTATATGAATATCTTTTGAATGCTTGAGTAATATATTTTTAATATCCAACTCATATGAATTTGTCTTTTCCTTATTCAAGCAATCATTCTTGTCTTAAGCAATGTGGTCATTTCGTATTGACATATGAATCAACTAACAAACAAAATAAATTCTTTTTTTTTGTTCATATTTCGCTTGAGTAAACACTCATCACTTGAGTGAAGTATAGGCCTAGAAATTTTTTTAAAGTATAGATATAACCCAATAGAATAAAAAGGAAAGAATCTATCATAATTAAAATTAATACAAAAGGGAAAAAACAAGATATGTTATAGAAAAACAATTATGTTAATATTCCCCTTCAAGTTGGACGGTGGATGTCACAAATACCCAACTTGAATATAGAATTGTCAAAAGTTGTATGATAAAGAAGCTTAATAAAAATATTCACAAGCTGGTTGAAAGACGAAACAGTAAAAAGATGAATTAGACCTTGTTAAATTTTCTCACAAACCATATAACAATTGATCTCGATGTCAAACCATATAACAATTGATCTCGATGTAAATGACAGACTAATTGTCACAATAAACTATAGTAGAATCCAATAAAACATGAAAATCACGAAAAAGATAATATAACTATTAAATCTCACAAGTGAAACTGGCTAATGCTCGATATTCTACTTCAGTAGATAAACGAGAGATAATAAATTGTTTCTTAGATTTCCAAGAAATCAAGAAAGAACCAAAGAAAATACAAAATTCCATAATTGAGCAACAAGTAGATGAATTAATTAAACTGCTCAACAAAAGGGCCTTATACTTAAAACTGTCCTTGTCCATAATTGCTTATGAAAATATTAGTATATACCCTTTATCCAATGGGAACTTTTTTCTTTTCTTTTTCTTTTTATGTACTCATTTGCTACATTGTAAATAATAGCCTTCAGCCCCCATTAAGAAATGCAGAATATGGTGGCTTGGAAGGGATACAAAAAGGCTTTAATTTTGATACCTTCAACAATGGCTCAACACAATTTTGTCTCGGTTTACAAACTTACAAGAACACAATTTACAATACATATATTTTCTGCTCATACCATCCAAAGCACCAGACAGTATTCAAAAAGTAATGTGGTGCAATATCCCTGCACTCTACTCAACTGCCTCCAATGGGGTATTGATAGACTCAATAACCTGGAATGAAGCACTTGAAAATTCCATCAATGACTGGAAGAGAGGGGGAAGGGTAGTTTGAAGGAGATTTAGGGTCATTGCCCTACTACACTGAACAGCATCCAAATACTTTGCTCTCTCACTCTCCACTTGCTTCTTAATGTCTTCTGTTTCACTTTTCTTAAGATGTATTGGATGCCTGGGGCTTGTATCAGCCATATCTCCATCAATTCTTTGCTGCATCTCAGCCAAAGTCTCCACACATTTTTGGAATTTCCTTTCAAGTTTCTCTATCCTTTTCAGAATGTTATGTTCCTCGCTCTGTTGGGAAGTTATGGAACGGATGGATGACAAAAGGCTTTTTATTGCCTCAGATGTCTTCTGCAATCATCCAAAATGCCAGCAAATTTGTAATTCGTACTATTTACAAGAAAATGAACCCATAAAATTTTTTAAGACATTTTGTAATATGAAGAAAAGAAAGTGTCTTCCTGCAGTAACAAGTGTTTATTCAAACAAGTCATTTAATCTTTCAAACCAACTTTTGAACAGTCATAATACAAGGAAGCAATTAATGTTTTGAAAAACAAGAGTTTTTGTGCAAAGAAACTACCAGTTATGAAAACATTCATGTGACCCATCAGTTTAAACTTTAGGAACAATTAGTTAATCAGATATCTGTAATCAAGAGCCTCTACAGCCGTGTGGTCTAGAGTTTGAAGTTTACATAGACAGACAGAATTAGCAAATACTGGCATGAAAGCCAATAAAAAGTACTCTATGGCTGGACTATGCTTTGTTTACTTCTGCTCTATTGACTGAAACAAAAGTAAAAACTGAGTCATTTGGAAGTGTAGAGCCAAGGTCAGTGTACAGTACGTGGAAACACAAGAACAGAACTACTAGGTAGCAGCATTACAGACAAAACAAAGCAGTTACAAAAGTTTGCATTTTGAAAAGTTGAGATTTTTCAGTTTTGAGAAGAAGGACACTAAAGGGAATAGGAAAACAGTTCTGACAAAAGAATTTCTAATTTTCCTGTCAAGAATAAACAAAACCCAAGGAAAAAAGACTGACAACAAATTTAGACCAAAAGTACCTTGTCTGGTAATTTGTCAAGCCCATGCTCCCACTGTTCACAAATGGTGATAGCAGGAGAATGATTGCTACGTTCATGACCATCCCGGAGGCTGTCAGTAAGCTTGATCCATTCATAAAGGGTCCTCACATACTCCTGTTGAGATCTTACAAGTTTGCAAAAGCTGTTATACCAATAAGAGACCTCAGTCTGGAATTGAATTGTAGCCTGGTGATGATATCCAGAAGTTACTATCGTGTTATGATTATCGCTGAGGTTACTCAACTGCTGGGAGATGAGTGTTTGGGCTTCGTGTGACTCATGCATTGTCCTCCACGTATGCGCCAACCTACAAAACAACCAAGAGGTTAAAGCAAAACCCACCATTAAGGTAGATTGATATTAACACACCATTTAGTTAGAATGAGTCTAATGCATTGATTCAGACAAACATACCCTGCAGTTAATGCAACCAGCTGGGGTAAAAGCTCCTCATCAATCATTTCCAAAATTGATGAAGTTGTTTCACTGATGCACTGCCGCAAGCTTATTAAATCAGACTCCAACTTATCAACACATGATCGAGTTTTGTCAATTTTTACCATGTCAAGGTTCTCATCCACTTGTTTACGCAATAATGAGGACTTCCTTTCAAATTCCAATGCAACAATTCCCTCCTCCTACATTATATGACATTTGAATAATGAGAATGAAATAGCTTCTAATTCAGTAGAAAATGTAATGCATACTTTCTCATATCATCCACATATAGGACTCTGGATACACAGAGTGGAGACTATTGATGAAACTTCATAGATACTAACAATACCCATGAACACGGAATGTGTATAATAAACACGAGTGCATGAACATATTGTGGCCTAAACACATTAAATATTATTATTTCCCAACATTCAGAAAAAATAATAATAATAATAATACATATATATATATATATATATATATATATATATTTATATATATATTTTGTTCTGTTTCGTACTAATCTCATTGAAAATATCAGTAACCAAGATAAGTAGAGGAATTACAAAACCCTTCCAGATTTAAATTACCCTAAGAAAGAATAACATGTGAAGGTACATTGAACCAAGAACCTGATAATCAAATGTCTTTAAAGACAATGAGAAATAGAGTGAAACATAAGCAATTGGAAGGAAATAGAGAAGAAAACAGGATGATAGTTTCGATGCAAATGGACATAGGTCTCATATAGCTATTAGAATATCTGAAATAATATTGCAATATCTAAATTTATTCAATAGGTTTAATTTCCCCATACCCTCATGGTAGATATCTTAGGATTGTTTACCATATTTTGAAAAATATAAGGTGCTGACGCATGAAAATTAATTACTAGTAGAGCACCAACATGAAAAACAGTTCCAGAGACCAGATGCTAGTGGGAGTGAATTACTAAATTCATTAGTCAATACCTTTCTGTATAAATAAAGACTAGTCAATAACTTGCATTTATTTGTCTATCTTGTCACTCTTTTCATTTTCCTAAGAGAGACAGTGTTCTGCCGTTATATGCCTTGAAAGTTCTGTTCCTGATCTTTCTTTCAATAGATATCTTTGCACTAAACGGCTGTATGTACCTTTATACAACCACAAAATATAAGGGTGACACTAAATTGGCAACTTTCTAATTTCTTATCTATTAAATCAGATAGCTAGATTTACTATCTTACCTTAACTGCCTTGAAAAGTTTCTTCTCTGCCTCATATAGTTTTTTAAGTGTGGCACAATGAGCTCCAGGCTTACATGGTTCACTATGACCAGAAAACTCAGCACCATCTTTGGTGGATGGCGGTGATTTTGAATGCCTACTCCATGACAATACACTGAATACCTTCGCAGAATTGCCTCTCTTCCCTACAAATAGCACAGCCACAGTAAAATAATGTCAGCAACCACACCACATCGGAAATGAACGATGGTCTAAAACAATTGTTAAGTATAATAAACCTGACACACAACCCAAAATGCAATTAAGTTTGACAGTAATTAGGGATGAAATTCAAATGAGACAATATATTATAATCAAGAAGAAAGGTTACTACAATCATATTTCACAAAACATAGTTTATAATAAAGACTTCACAATTTCAAAAATTGAGAATAATCTACCATTGTCTTTTTGTGACTTCTAAAAGATTCAACCAAATATGATAATTGTAATCCCTATGAATGTTAATAAGCAGTATTGTTTTATGGAAGAATAACTACCCTCAGTTTATGAGTATTAAAAGATGCAATATTAAAACTATGACTATTAAAGGAAACCAATAGGTTCCCACGCAGAAAAGACAGGTGGCAAAAGGTAAATGGCCAACAAATAACTCATAGTCTATCATTATGGAACTTCCACTATCCTAAAAAGACATAGTATGAAGCCTTACTATCATGATGCCCAGAATTCTGTCTCAGAAGAGCATCCTCTTTACTAATAAGAACAGCAATTTCCTTTACACATCCAGATGCTTTCAGGAAATGGTCATCCAACTCTTTACATATACCCTCCAATGTTTTCCCACTTCTACAAACCGTCTCAGGCATAGCTGCAGCGTCTTTTCTAAACAAACTTATTACAGAGGAATTTTCATCAACTGGTTCTATCAACTGTTGCTTTCCCCTACGCAATTTTTCAGCAACAACAGCAGCTTCTGCTTCTTCATCCTCAAATTCTGTTTTAGTTTCTTCCCAATTATCCTCCTCCACTGATTCTATTATTTCTTTTCTATCAGGGTATCGATACAGCCGTAGTGAGCTCAAACTTGGATCAATTTGCAGTGGAGGAACATTGCTGTCATCTGTCTCTAGTATCTCATCTTCGTGCGCCATAGTCTTGTCGACGAGAAAAGGAGGCCGCGGCGGTGGTAGCAGAGGGAATGCAGGCAGATGGGGTGGTGGAGAAGCTGGCTCAGCCATTCCATTAGAGGCAGTTTCAAAATCAATTGTATCATTCTCAGTGAATTGCCTCAGGGTGGAACCAGTATTCTTCAATGCTTTAAAATATGCAAATAGGGAAACAGAAAACTCCCCTCTAACTTTCACCAACTGTTTAATTAACCTCTTCCTTTCCTTGCACCTGCCAACCTTCTCATCCTCATCGAAACTTGACAAAACACAGCCCATTTTTTGGAATATACAAATCTCACAAGTCACAAAAAATCTGATATAGGATTTCTCTAGTTTTCTTGAAAATAACTATATAACAAACATTGTATTGCCAAGAAATCAGATGGTATGTGTCATCACTAGATTCTAGTATGCAATAGTCTTCACGCCGTTTTCAATATTTCAATAACCAAAAATTGTCACCTACAATACAAACAAAATATATTTATCAAATCGCAAGGAAGGAAGACATAAAAATTAAACACAACACACAGAAAAGTACCCAATTGGAAATATTTCACATTTCTCAACCATATCCACAAAATAAACACACCCTAACATACTTAACTCACTGCTTCATTAATTTTTCCAACGAATTTCATTAACCCAGAATCCGTGTAACAGTATGTGCGATACTCTCTCCGGAGAGTATTGCAAGAGAAGCACAAAGTAAACAAATTCCATGACCAAACTCAATAGGGGAAAACAACAAAAGGAAAAAGCTCCAAACATTAAAAACAGAGAATACAAGTTGTTAGCGACGGATATTAAAAGTTGGAGAAAATGTTGAAAATAGAAAAAAAAAATTGTTCTGACACAGAAGATGTCTGCAACAGACTGCAAGAACACGCAAACAGAAACGCATAGCAAATTGCAATTGCAACTTACCCCACAGAGGCATATGGGTATGGCAAATGGAAGACAGAAAGGTGAATCTTCTTCTGGTTTTAAAAAAGCGTTCAAGAGAAACCCATTTTGTTCCTTTTTTACAGAACAGAGGGAGAGAGAGAGAGAGAGAGAGAGAGAGAGAGAGAGAGCTCGAAACCCGAGAGAGGGAGAAGCATCCAAAGAAAAGAAGAAGAGTGGCACAAAGACCACCGCAGAGAGAGAGAGAGAGAGCGCGCGCGAAAGAAGAAGAGGAATGGTAGGTACTACTACCTATATCAGAAGCAGAGCACGTGGTCGAAGTTTTCTGTTGCTGGTGCTGCATAGAAGAAGAAGAAGAATAAGAAGATAACCTTGAAGGGTGTGTGAAAGATGAAGATGTTGAGCATGTGATGACAGAGAGAAACCACTTGAACAGCTTTGCATTGCCAAGGGAAATAGAGAAAGCTATATGAGAGAGAAAGGCAACACTTTTCTGAGGAGCTTTATTGGACTTCACAGGAGACATATACCTGTTGGCATGGGACACTGATTTGGTTTTGTTTTCACAAAATTATTAATATAGACAAGGAAACATGAACAATTATAGTTGGGTTTCTTTAAGAATGTTACCAATATATCTAATCTTTTTCTTTATTTATTATTTCAATAAATTTATTAACATTTTATTAATATCTTTATTATTTTAATTTTTTTATCTTTAAAATTTATAAATAATATTTTCATAAAATATCATATATTTTAAAACAAATAAATTACTATATAGGATACGAAAAAAAAAACATTCACCATTATTAGGTTAATTATTAATTGGGTATTCATTTGGACCACACAAAATAAAATAAAAATAAATACTATTTTCAATAAATTAAATATAATTGTCTCTATAAAAATAGAAATGTAGTGATTTAACTTCAGAAATATGAAATTTAGTTTCAAATGTTATTAATTTCGTGGTAAAATTATCTTTAATTTAATTAAATTTAGAGAATAAATTTATCATGAGTGAATAGATAAATTATCATGAAATTAATAGGTTGGGAAATTAATTTTTCAGAAAACAAATAATTCAATTGATTTATGTTGATATATTCAGGGATTGTTTTATCCATATACAATGTATATTTTAATCTATCTTAACCATAATTGTTTATGTTATTACAATTTTATAGAATTGTTTCAAAACATAAATAAAAAAACTTTTTTTATACTTTCCAATTTTGACAAGATTAGTGTTTTTGAACATTGTTAACATTTACAACAATAAATAATGCAATAGACTCAATTTTGGCATATATTTTTGTTTTCAATTTATTCCTCGTAAATCCTTCTTATTATTAAAATATAATTCCTCTCTCAGTTACAATTATCTATAAAACCTTCTTTCATAATCATATATAATTATTATTTCAAAAAAAACTTTTGTGACTATTTTGCAATAAAAATACAGTTTCACTAGTCTGATTCTAAAGTAAATACAATTTTGATTATATACATGCATGCTTATAAATGTGTATTTACTTTTACAGTTTAGCAAAATGTATTTTAACTATTAAATATAATCGAAATATAAACTTAACTAAATTTAATTATATATTAAATCAAAGCGTGTATCCTTTAAGAAAATAAAAAAACAATTTTATTAGAAAATAAAAAAATATTTTATTAAAACAAAATAATGTTCATGTACATTAGTAATTGAAATCTAGAATATATATATATATATATATATATATATATATAATGAGATTCATTATATTCAATTCTTATATTTTGAAGTATTGTCTTTCAAAATTATCTTTAATTGAATTTTTAAATTTTTAAAGAAGACTATTCAGAATACACGTTCATTACAGTTAATTTTAATAATAAATTTAGTCTTTTAAAAACTTTTAAATAGACAAATTTATTTGTCCTTTAATTATTAATAAAAAATATTATATATATATATATATATATAAATTACAATAATATTAATTATTCGTAAAACAATAATAAAGAAGTTTAGAAACAACTTTTAATACGTATATTTCTGACAGATTAAAACTAAATTTAAGCCATACTAAACTAGTTTTTAATGATATAAAATTGTCAGTAATACATAATCTTATAAGGATAAATTTGTTGATAAATTAACACTAACTATTCAATAGTCATAAATAAATAACATAATTAGTAGACAATTTGCATAAATGACAAAGCATAATTGAAATCATAAATTAATAAGTGGGTTTGGTTTTTTTTTCGTTGTGATTTTAATAAGTGGAATGCTGAGGCAGCAACAAGTGTTATGGGTGTTTCTTAGAGTTTAAGATACATCGAATATGTATTAGTGATTAGACTATTTGAAAGTTGGCCAATGCAATTATGTTTTTTCTAACTTTTTTGAGCCATCACCACTAAAAAGTATAACTTTATTACTTATCCATTGTCTTTGCATGGTAGGTAGTAGTGATATTCTCGTCTTTGCATTGCCCAACCAAGCTTGAACAATAAAAGAGGCAAATTTTGCTTCTAATAATTTATTTTGATTTTTTATAATAATATTAATAATAATATAAGAATTCATTTGGTCTATGGAAAAAATAATATTTTTTAATCTAATAATTAATATGGGTTTAAAATTACTTAAAATGTAAAATAATGTAATGTTTTTGTGTATTGTGAGATGTTTATTCAGATTACTTATTAGTTAAGGGAGAGCACGTGGTTTTAGTAAAATATTTATAAATTCCAAGTTTCTGCATGATATGTCTCCATAGCCATGTTGGAGGGCCCTTATTTTTAAAGGTTTGCCAAATGTTTCTTATGATTATTTATCAATTTTTTAGTTAAAATGCATGGTGACGTCGCACTAACTATCGTGTGTCATGAGTCTAAGTCAAATGGGGCTTTAGTTTGGCTCTTAAAAAAATTTAGGGTTTTTGCATCTACTCACACTAGTTGAAAATCGATTTTTATGTAGTGTTATCATATTGGTTATAAGAGATTCATTTAAATGTCAAAATAGTTATATTTTTATAATAATTAACCAAATTTCTATATCATTTATTAAGATAATGTATATAAAAAAATTATATACTATTATTTTGTACCTTTTAGTTTTTATATTGTTTTTTTTTTGTTATTATGCTATTGTACTTTCTCAAATTTCTTTATTTACCAGTATTCTTTCTTCCAAGTTTTTCTTTTTAAAATTCATTTGGTTCAAAACTCATCATCTTTTTTTCTTTTTAAACTCTATTATCTCAAAATCTCCTCCTTACCATATTATTCAATCATCTCAACGGTAACGTGGAATTTTTTCAGTTATTACCAATTATCCTAATATGAAAAAAAATAATTCTTTATTATCTAGTCACTATTTTTTTATATTATTATCATCTTATATCTCTTTTTTATTATTATTTTAAATAAGTATATCACTTATATTTATTTTACTTATTATATAATAAAATTTATTAAAATATGATAAAAAAAGTTATAGTTGACGTTATATATTGTTATTAAAATTGTTTTATTATATTGTATGGAAAATTTGAAGTAAAATGATCTTGATTCTCTATGTAACTTTTATATATATATATACAATTTTATCTCCAAATTTAATAATTAATAAATATACTAATTTATATATTTATATATTTATAATTTTATTTTTCATATTTATTTACTAATAATAATATTTTATTTGATTTTTCTATCATTAAAGTATAAAAAATAAATAACATTTCGTTCATAATTGTATATAAAAATATTGACATTTATAAACATAATATATATATATATATATATATATTAAAAATAGATATATTATATAATTTGTTATATAATTAATATTATATTTATTTTTTATATTAGTTATTAATAAATATAAAAACTTTTATACTTTTTACATTAAATAGAGGTCTTCATTTTCATTTATATTGTATATTGTTATTAATATTGTTTTACTGTATTATATGAAAAATTTGAAGTGAAATGATCTTGATTCTCATTCCATAATTTGGTAGCTTACATATATATAACTTTATCTTCAAACTTATTAATTATTAAATATATTTATTTATATATTTATAATTTTATCATCTTATATTTTCATATTCATTTATTAATAATAATATTTTATTTGAATTTTCTATCCATTAAAATATAAAAAATAAATAGCATTTCGTTCATAATCGTGACGTATGATTTTTATATATTATAATAATATTATTGTGCAAGAAAACTTCGTTCATGCACAATAAAATTCTTCTTTTATACATGTGCATACGAGAAGGGGAGGAGGCATCAGCAAGTAGTTCTTCCTCTCATCCTTCTTTTCTTTTTGTCTAAATTTCAAACAACGA